CGAGTAGTCCAGGTGTATTTCCTACCTGAATGGCAAAGTGAAACTGATGTATAATTTTCCATATGAAAAAACAACTTGTTTTTTCACATTCATTGCCTCAATAAGGACAGATGCCCTAAGGCAGATCCCTTCAGGATGGAGTGAGAGAGGCCTTTCTTCAGCTCCCTGTTGTAGTCTTACTATATCATCACAGAGTCTTTGCTCTGCCTCCCTTCAAGAGGTGGAGCTTTATGTCTTTTGCCTGGAATGTGAGTAGGACTTGGTAATTTTCTTTCTAAAGCAGAGAATATGGAAGAGGTGACAGCATGTCACTTACAAAGACTAGGATATAAAAGATTCCTCTGGCTCCCTCCTTGCTCTCTTTGTGATCTCTTACTCTGGAAGAAGCTGGTTGTCATGAGAACACTCAAGAAGTCCTATGGAGAGATCCACATGGTAGGACCTGGGGCTTCTTGCCAACAGCCATGAGAGTGAACCATGCTGGAAACAGCTCCTTCAGCCCCAGTCAAGCCGTCAGATGACATACCCCTATACAATATCTTAACTGCAACTGCATGAAAGACCCTGAGGCAGAGCCACTGAGTAAAGCTATTCACAAATTCCTGACTCACAGAAGGTGTGAGATAATCAATGTTTGTTGTTTTAAAGCCACTAATCCATAAGTTATAGAGTAATTTACTGTGCAGTAATAGATAATGGAGTCCCTCTTGGAGAATATTTCATTGGTGGTAAAAATTTTATTCTATAAATTATTTATGATGAATGCCTTTATGTTGAATGGTCATTAAAAAAAACTAGTCAGCTTTCACAAGGAATAGGACAGATAAAATAAATATTCTTATTAGTTTATAACTTGAGCTGCTATAACTTGACCAGACACGTTCCTAGACAATTCAGTGGATAGATTTAAATGTTCCCCCTATACATTACTTGAGTGAACAAAGAGAAAGTGGGGTCCAGGCTTATCAATCCACTTCATTATAACAACAGAGTAAAGAGGGTATTGTGGGGGGTTTTAAATATGCATGCAAATTGTTTGACACCCTTCCCATCGAGAGGTGGGAGTCTCTGCCCTCTCCCAGGGAATCTGAGCCAACTGTAGTGACTTGATTGTAATGAGTAGATGGCTCTTTAGACAGCCCAAGCTGAAGTGTCAGTCAAGAGCCAGTATCAAGAACCCAGCCACATGAGTGAATACACCTCACAATGAGTTTTGCTCCCAATAGTCAAGTAAGTTACTCTCCACTGTCAAGTCACCCCCCAAGTTGTGACCCCATATATCATACAGCAGAGACAAAGCATCCCCACTGTATTTTGTCCAAATTCTTGCTCCACAGAATCTAGGAACACAATAAAATGGTTGTTTTATGCCATTAAATTTTAGGGTAGTTTGTTACATGAAATACCAGCCTGAACAGATGTATGGAAACAGTTTCTCTTCATCTTTCAGATTACTTGAAAAGATACAATTTGGAGACAAGAGCTAATTAGCAATTGCATTAAGCTATGACCATAAAGGACTTAACTTCAGGGAAAAATATAAGGTTCGGTAGAAGGGTGGCAACGTGAGAGCCCAGGTAGAGAGACACACATATGGTTTTTGCTCTGCTGTTGTTTTCTTTTGCAAATTGCATATCTCTGAGGATAACATTAAAGATCTTGTTAGGCAGTATAAATAGAGCTAGAAACAGTAAGCCTAAATTTTACCTTTGAGTTTTTTCCCCACTTAAAAAACATTTGCAATTACAAAAAAATTCAAACAGAGAAATACAGAAAGTAATGAGACATCTAAGCATTCTCTCCTACCACTCAGAATTCACCCAAAGTTAACATTTTTGGACATTTTAAAACATTTTATTTATTTATTTATTTATTTATTTATTTATTTACTTACTTGAGATGGAGTCTCACTCTGCCACCCAGGCTGAAGTGCAGTGATGTTATTTTGGCTCACTGTAACCTCTGCCTCCTGGATTTAAGCGATTCTACTGCCTCAGACTCCCAAGTAGTTGGGATTACAAGCGTGTGCCACCAGACCTGGCTAATTTTTGTATTTTTAGTAGAGACGAGGTTTCACCATGTTGGCCAGGCTGGTCTCAAACTCCTGGCCTCAAGTGATCCACCTGCCTCGGTCTCCCAAAGTGCTGGGATTATAGTCATAAGCTACCGTGCCTGACCAACATTTTTTTACTTCATATCTATTCTTAAGTAAGAAATAAGCTGCCAGATACATTTAGAGTTTCTTCCTCCTACCCAATTCCAATTTATTCCATCCTCAGAGGTAGCCGCTATCCTGAAGTTAGTGTTTCTGCCTTGCTTTCACCTTTTCATTACTTAAAGAATAAATAGTTCTGAAGGTGGGTACAGTGGCTCATGCCCATAATCCCAGCCCTTTGGGAGGCCACAGTGGGTGGATCACTTGAGCCCAGAAATTCAAGATCAGCCTGGGTAACATGATGAAAGTCTGTCTCTACAAAAAATACAAAAAATTAGCTGAGAGTGGTGGTGTGCTGCTGTAGTCCTAGCTACTCTGGAGGCTGAGGTGGGAGGATCATTTGAGCCCAGGAGGTCAAGGCAGTGAGCCATGATAGCACTACTGCACTCCAGCCTGAGTGTCAGAGCAGGACACTCTCTCAAAATAAAAAGAAGAAATAGTTCTGAAAGTTATAAAGTTATCTTATAATTACATTTGTTGAGGGCTAGTTTTAATGATGTCATCATTCAGTAAGTTGATACGGTGAAACAAAATAGACAAATGCTTGCTCTCTCATTTACTAATGGATTAAAACTTCTAGGATGCATGCTCTCCATCTAGTGGTAAAAACAGGATAACCATAGGTGCATTTATGTCTCATGAAGAGGAGTGAACACACATTAAGGACCTTCTGTGGATAGGACGCTCCTCTGGTCTCTGTGAGGGAGACACAGATGAACAGAAGACAGACTCTGGCCCTCAGGATGCTAAATCTATGGAACAGTTATAACGTGCTCAACAACCACACAAGGGACACAGGGGCCCAGAGAGGTCAAAGAACTTGCTCCAGGTCCAACAACAAGTGATTGGCAGAGCCTCATGCCAAACTCTGACCTTTCTGACTTCAAAGCCCATTCTCTGCACTGTGAAGCTTGATAGTACTTTTAAGCATTATTTTTATGTTGAAACAAGTATAGATTTTCTGTGAAGTAGAATATAAACTTTCATGAATTGTAAGGGCTTAAGAGCTTTCAAATAAATTTGGCCTGTTTCTTGGATGCTCCTAAATCCTCAAATCCAGGAGTTTCTGCCTTAAAGGTCCCGGGTAGGAAAATGTTGAAAAGCTCTGCTTGGGGATGGCCTTCTAGCATTGAGCAGGGGAAGGTTCAGAGGGGGAAGCATGGCACTTGAAAGGCCACTAGTAGCTGTGATATTGAAAAATGTTAACACCTGGATGCTCTGAGCACTGACTAATAGAAAAGAGCATTGGCTAAACAGGCCAGACACTGAGCATAGCAACCAGCTTAGCTTTAACTATGCCTAACGTCTTCGTCCTGAAAAAAGAAGCCTATATGTCCTAGGCAAGGAACAGGTACCTAAAGAAGGGTGAAGATTTAATAAACTATCCACTGGAAATTTCTTTCACAGGTCCCAAACCTGCTCTTCCTCTTCTATGTTCCAGCCTTCATTAGTCTCCCAAATTAGAAACCTTAATGTTATCTACGACTTAATTTCTCGATTGGACTAGAATCCAATCTTGATTTTTCCTGCTTATCTCATTGGTCCCCTGGTTCTACTTCAAGGAATAGAGAGAGAATTAGGTGTGCCTGGAGCAAAAAGACCAGAAAATATGGGTTCATTTGGGAAGGAAATTTTCTAGATGGAAGAGCAGGTAGAATTAGTTGGGATATGGTTTGGGCAAAGAAGTGGCAAAAGCATGGTGAGTGAGGACGAGAGCACACTCCTGCACATTCCCGTAATTAATGAGGTCAGAGAACACAGGGAGAAGGTCAGGTTATGTGGAAGGACAGCTGTGCAGCTTATGGTCTACTCTAAGGGCAGTTGGAAGCTGTTGGAGGATTTTAGGCAGAGAGGGAGGGGCATGTAGCAAGATATGATTTGTGTTTTCAAAAGATTAGTCTGACTGCAATAATGAATTCCAGGATGGCAAGACTTGAAGCAGGGAGACGAGGAAATTTTACAGATGTAGAGAAGCAAGACAGTGGTAGTTTGGATGGAAGCAGTGGTGGAGAGGGAGATCAGAGAAGACATTTTGAGTGTGGTCATAGGTAGAGTCTACAGGGAGCTCTCACATTACCTAGTTCAACTTCACCTTACAGATGAGAACACTGGGGTTCAGAGAAGTAAAGAAATGTTGAGTCACCATCTGTAGATGGCAGAACTACCACTCTGATGTGAGCTCTTGATTTCCAGCCTATAACACTTCCCGTTGTACCATACTACTTTATATATTGTTTAATGTGTGCTTTCTGTTATCTCTTTTGCCAGATTATAAATTTTCTGAAAGCAGAGAAGTTGCTTTAAACAACTGATAAACTTTCAGTTTGCAAAGGCTGTGGCCAAGGTACATTGTAGATAAAACATAGACATCGTCTTACAGTCCCAGGCTCCCTCAAACTCAGGCACAGAGAGGAAGTTCATTGACACTTCTTAAATCAAAATGAATTTGAATTACACACAAAGTTCCAATCTGCAGAAAACCGAATCCCACTGAGATTCAGACTCCAAGAGAAAGTTTGGATTCTTGCTTGAGTTATGAGAAGGGGAAATTCTAGAGGAAACACACATTGGTTCTTTATGGAGGAGAAGATAATTACCCTTGTAGAAACTGTTCCAACTGACCCCAAATTGGAAAGGCATTTGCACACTCCCTTCCCTCAACCCAGGGAGGAGCTTTACATGGGTTTAGTAGAGGGTTCACATACCCTTCTTCAAGACCTGGCAATAGAGACTCTAATGGGAAGGGCAAATGGATGACAGATAGCTCCAGGGAACTCTCTTTTCACTTCTGCCTCTAGACTACAAAACAGCATTGGCTGAGCCATCACTTTGGGAATTGTTTTTATCCAGAGGAATATGCAGCACCAAAGAGAAAAGCAACCCCAGAGACTGGCTTCTCATACCTAAGCCAGTTCTGGCTTAGGCCTCTGGCTAAAATAAAGGAAAATGGGAGAGAAATATTGAGTTTATAAATGGTTCTACCTGATTCACTAAGGTAAATGAGCAGAAAGGGATTAAGGATAAAACCAGATATAAATCATAACCAGGGATTAAGTCATAACTGGAAATAACAAATGTCCATTTAACTCAGCCATTTCCAGTGTTATCTCATTCAGGAATCCAAGTTTGACAGGAAACAACTGGAGAGAGGTACAGATTCGGTACAGGTGAGGGAACCCTCTCCATCTGGTAGAGTTGGCAGCATCAAACACAGCCATCTGGAAAGTCTCTAATAAAAAGATGCCACTTGGTTTCAGAGAAAATGACAAACATTTGTATCTGTTATTAATCATGAAGTTATGGAAAATTAGCTTTGAGTAGCTTGGGTACTAATGACAAATGAATTAAAGGTCATTCCCTATACCTTATATTCGCCCTTTGTGTAGGAGTGTGCAGTGTTTGATAGGATCCTCATTCTCTATACCTTGTATTCGCCCTTTGTCTAGGTATGTGCAGCATTGGGTAAGATCCTAATTCCCTATCCCTCATATTCACCCTTCGTCTAGGTGTGTGCAGCGTTGGGTAAGATCCTCATTCCCTATGCCTTATATTCGCCCTTCATCTAGGTGTGTGCAGCGTTGGATAAGATCCTCATTCCCTATGCCTTATATTCGCCCTTCGTCTAGGTGTGTGCAGTGTTGGGTAAGATCCTCATGAATTCATGCATTCATGAGATCAGTGTGCTGAGGAAGTGGATTTATGGAATCAATGAAGAGTAAAGGAATAATCTAGGAATATAAGACATTGTTCGGTGGCAAACCTGGTTAGGAGTTCCAAAAACCCTCATTGCAGCAAGAAAGCACCAGGTGCCAGAGAAGGAGGGAGAGGGATGCAGAATGAGAGGCTGAAAGCACAAGGAAATAGGTCTGTCCTAGGGAGGACCTTATCCAACTCTGCACACACCTAGCCAAGGGCAAATATAAGGTATAGGGAATGAGGATCCCTTCGTCTAGGTGTGTGCAGTGTTGGGTAAATTCCTCATGAATTTGGAGGAAAACAATATGATCAACTTCATTTATGCTATGACTTAGATGACTTATACATTAAGATGTGCATTTTTCAAATGGATAGATATTAATGGTGGAACAATTTGGGAACAAGGGCCACCCCTTACACTTCTAATATTGTCATGTACTTTTTTCATTATCCTTATCACAGTTTGTAACCACATAATTGTATAATGAACTAGTTAGTTAATTTCTTTATTTGAATTAGATAACAAGCTTAGGAGAGTAAGGCCCATGACTGTGTGTATGTTTCAGTCTGGAGCCCCATGAATGGGCCCAAAAGGAGACTAGAGAATACTTCTTAAGTGAATGAATGAATGACAAATGAATGAATTGAATTTTCAAGTACAGGTGAGACAAACCTTTTTCATATCTCCTCCTAAGCACAAAAACCAACCAAATAAATAAAATAGCCTGAAATGGTCTCGTGAAAATAGAAAGATTCTTGTAGGGAGCTAACAATTACTAATGTGTGTGTGTGTGTTTTAAATCCTAGCATTGTGTAGAGATGTCTTTAAATTAAAAAAGGAGACAGTGGCTCATGCCTTAATCCCAGCACTCAGGAGGCTGAGGTTGGGAGTTCAAGACCAGCCTGATCAACATGGTGAAACCCCATCTCTACTAAAAATAAAAAATTAGCTTGGCATGTAATCTCAGCTACTCAGGAGGCTGAAGCAGGCAAATCACTTGAACCTAGGAGGTGGAGGTTGCAGTGAGCCAAGATTGAGCCACTGCACTCCAGCCTGGGCAATAAGAGTGAAACTCCGTCTTGAAAAAAAAAAAAAAAAAAGAAGAAGGAGAGACTTCACTTCACTGAGGCTGACAGGTAGGTTCCAGGATGTAAGGCTCAATTATTTGATATCCTTTACTTTCAGGGCATGATTCTCTTCAAATAAGAAAATAAATCAATACCATTCTTTCCCACCTCCTTCCCCACTGCTCTGATGAGACAAATGATTCGGAAACAGAACCTCCAGCCTGAGCCCTGTGTTTCCATCTCCCCAACTGACAATCCTGCTACCCACCCCTCCCACTCCTACACCTTTTCCCCATGCAGACCCTCTTTTCCTCTGGATTCCGTGGTGATGAGATATGGGAGTGGGATGTTGTACATAAAATTTGCCAACTTAGCATGAGCTCAGCCTGCACTGCAGAGGTGTCCTTGTTCTGCCTTGGTTTCTATGCAAAGGAGATAATTCAGGTAAAAGTGCCTGGTGCATAGTAGGCACTCCTAAAATGAGACTTTTTTCCTCCTACCTTCTTAGTTCATTAAAACACTTCTCATTGCTGCCCAACAAGCATCTCTCTTTATCTTATGGCCTTAAAAAGAGGTTAAAATGTTTTTATTTAATTAAAGTGAAAGATAGTGAATTGGGATTAGAAGTGTACATATGTCTATATGTGAAAAGGAGCTAAGAAATTTTAAGTGGCGGTAGCCTGTAATTCCTTAGAGTGGAGGACTCCTAAAGAGGGTGATTTATCTTTAAGCATTGCTCAGGTGCCTTTTTTAAAGAGTCCTACTGTTGCTATGGAAATCATGTCTGTAGGAATGTGTGCAAATGTAGACTGGATTGCCAGTTGCACAAATAGGGAAGTGTGGGCAAGGGGGAGGCAGGCTGGCACTTGTCAGTCCCCAGCACTGGTTCAAAAGAGAAATAATTAGAATGTGATTGAGGAACATGGAGAGAGTGCTATGGGGCAGGGACTACCATAGGTATCTCAATACCTGAGAGACTCCAAGACCATCTAGAATCTGCAATCTCCACTCTACCCCTTAGGGTGACCATTATTATGTCTGTTATCTCAATGTTTCTAATGGAATAGTAAATAAATAAATAGAGCTATTAATATAGCATCCTCTTTCACCGTCAATGTCATCATGGTTTAGTTGATAAACCAAAGAGTCACACGATCACTACAGAATACAGTTTCCCCCATAAAATGAAAGAAGCCAACTGGAAATGATCTCATCACATCTTTGACAGTATTTTATGCACAGAACTTAAGTCATTTATTAAGTTATTTTCTAGGTAAGAACTATGTCTCCCATTCTCTGTACCTCTCCTACAGCTTCAATTGAATAGCTATGCTTCATACCCACACCCCAAAAAGAAACCCGTCTTTCATCATTTCACAAGGAGAAACTGAGTCGGAGAACCTAGGATCCGCTAGGATCACTCACTAGTGAAGTGACGAGCTCCCACTCCCAGACTACATATTTCAAATTTGCACCACAAAGAAAAAATAAATAACTACCTATAGTGAACCCTATGAGGGTGTACTGTTCAACGTTTCTTGAAATGTAACTTAAATAAAAAAGTGATACGTTGAAAGGACCCTGGAGACATACAGAATCCTTGGGCAGAGGCTGGAGAACCAGGTTTAGACAGTGACAGGTAGGCATGGGCAGCCAGACCATAGCCAAGATCAGTGTCACAGTTCTCCCATTCAGACACTGCTGCCTCTACCGGTGGACATTGGACCCCACTGGTCCACCACTGTGGGCACTGTGGCCATGACTGCCCCACAGACTGGATGTTATTGCCACTTTTGCTGCCAATAACAGATGGATAATCCATGATCCCTTCTTCTTTGCCTAATTAGGTTCTGATTCTAAGCCCCAGATGCGTGCATCTGATGGGCCAAGCCTACTCTGGGTGCTTAGGCTTTAGTAGCAAGCAAGACTGGAAGAGTGACTATTAGCACTCTTCACCTTCTACACAAGATAGTGGTTTTTATCTACCACCACAGGAAAGAAATTCTTTTTTACATTTATTTATTTTTAAAGATGGGATCTCGCTCACTCAGTCTGGAGTGTCATGGCATGATCATAGTTCACTGCAACTTGGAACTCCTGGGCTTGAGCAATCCTCTTGTCTCAGCCTCTCAAGTAGCTGGGACTACAGGTATGCATCACCACACCTGGCTATTAATTTTTATTTTTATTTTTGTAGATACAGGGTCATGCTATGTTGCCCAGGCTTGTCTCAAACTACTGACTTCAGAGAATCCTCCCACCTTAGCCTTTCAATGTATTGGAATTACAGGCATGACCCACTAAGCCTGGCCAAAAAGAAATTCAAATGCTCTGCAGCCTAAAATATATCTGCTACATGGGGAAATGATGAGAATTAAATCTGAGAATGTCAAGGGCCTCTATATATAGTTTTTAGAAATAAGATCTTTTAATGTCTATTGAAATGAACATCAAATGTTTCAAAATAAGGCCTTAAAGCAGGACTATCTCAGATTTTTTGAAAGGGGAAATAATTTTTAATTGTCCATGGCTTCAGGTCTAATGCTAAAAGAGAAAAGGGGAAGGAGGAAGAAAGGTTACTGCTTAAAATTCTTGGAGACATAGAAGTTCACTGTCCTGGATGGAAGAAGGGGAACATCTGCCAATTTTGCACCATCATCTGCCAGAAATTCCAAACAGCCACAGAGAAAGGATGTAATAGAAGGATGGAAAGGTATTGAGCCAAGATCCAGAATTCTAATCACAGGGAGAAGGTAAGAATGTGGCCCAGAGCCGAGGAGAAGAATTCCAAGGTGAGCCGAGTGTCACAAGGGAGTGGTGTCCTCAAGAAATCTTGAGCACCTGGGTGGTTCATGCACCAGGCTGTGACTCAGAGGCAGCCTTTAGGAAAGAGGGACACATGGATGATTTGAGCCAAAAAACACAGGAAGGGTCATCTAATTATGGGACAGGCCAGCTGTCAGGGCAAAAAAAATTGCCAATGTGTCACTTTGCCTGCAAGTTAGAGAAACCCAATGCTAATTAGCTCAGGCAAAAAGAGAATTTATTGGAGGAATAAGGGAGTGCCTCATATAACTGCCAACAAAGCTGGGAAGGAACAGCTCTGACCCAGTGTTCAAATGTCCCCAGGGCTCTGTCTCTGTTTCTCATCTCTACTTCTCTCTGAAGAGAAGGGGCATCACTGCCTTGAAGTGGGGCCAGCATTCAACCCATCAGGGAACTGCTCACAGGGCTAAAGTCTTATGTCCTGTGACTTCTACCTCCAGAGGGGAGATACTTCTCTTCTTTTAGTTCCAGCTCTGTGGAAATAATCCAGTGAGCCTGGCCTCCCCAGGTCAGGTGCCCCAGTTTAAGTTTCCCACTGCTTTTAAGGGCGATTGCTAGTTGTAGGCAAATAGCTAACATTGTTACCTACTCCTGGGGTGACTGACTGTGGATAGGGAGGTGGGTTCCTGATCAATTCCCCCTGGGTTCATTCTCCTCTGGATCTGTCAGACACACAAGGAAGAGGGTCGTGTAAAACAGACACAGCCCTGGAGTTCCATATCCCTGAGTCCTTGCTGCTCTCAGACAAGGAAAAATTACTATCAGCTTCCGCTGATGTCTGTTACAGCCAAGAATTTGGATAGGAATTGAAGCACAGAGTTTTTTCCTAGGAGGAAATAGGTATGAACCCCAATATCCTATAGGCTCTTTTGCCATTCCTGATAATAAGGCAGTTGGCTTGAGAGAACAGTATTGCCTGGAGCCCCTGAAGGGCCAGAACAATGCCTCATCAGCGCTGGATATATCCAAGGATGCTTGTGAGCAATCCATGATGGTGGGGTTGAAGGAGGCTTGTTACAAACTCGGTCTTATAAAGTGCTGATGAGCACAGGCAATAAGGAGGACATGAGCTTAAGGAGAACCTTAAGCTCTCCTTAAGGCAGGGACAACAGGCACCAAAGCCCCCTAAGAGCCAAGGATGTTGGCTGTGTTTCTTGAAACTGTCCAAATGTAAAGGTGCTTACCTTTCCTGCCCACTGGTCACTCCTAGTCAGCACATCTAAGGCCACCCAATTCACATTTGAAAAGTAAAAAAGTGGTCATCTCTGTTTATTCCTAGCAACTGCCATGAGGGATTCTTGATGGAACTGACTTAGTCATCCAGTTGTTTTGATATCACACAAAAAGCCACAGTTTGTAGTTTGGAAAAAAAAAGTCCATGTGCATTGACCTGATGCCAGCTGATGGCAGCTTCCTCTCCTGGCCTGGCTGGGCGTTCCTGAAACCAGACCCTAAAAAGTACACTGACGATATTAAACTTGTAGTTCTTAGTGTTGAAAGAATTTTCACTTTCTAAACAGAACTGGATAATTGGAAAAGGACGGGGGAAGCTCCCGAAAAACTGTAGTTGAGTTAGTGCTTCACTGCTCATGAGAGCAGAGGCTGGCATCCGCCTCCTAAGTTACATGTGCCACTGAACATTTTATATGAAGTTCTGTTTCAGGAACCCAATTAAATTTATGTTTCTCCCTGCTCTCTTTATGATAAGTCATGGTCTAACAGCCTTCTTCCATGGCAAAATGAAGCTCCATGAGTGGATTCAACTGTCATTTGTTACTTGAAAATGCCTCAGAGTCATCATTTTCTGTTTCTACTTTTACTTAAGTTTCTGTCTTTTGGACCCATCCTTTTTTTTTTTTTTAATTAAAGCTCTATCCTTTTAGGGATCTATGTCAACATATCAACTGCTTTGTCACATTCTTTGCTAACGCCAATGTCATCAGAATTAAAAAAGCTGAAGCGAGGAATAGCGTTTTGGAATGAAAGCCACGTGAGCAGTGAGGGCAGCCAGCCAGAACCTTCTGGGGAAACGAATGAAAGCAGAACTGTGGTGGAAGCATCTAAACCCCCTTTACAGTTCCCATCATCCTCCCCCATTTCCCATCCTCTAGAGCCGACTGGAACAAAGGTGGTGTCATATTCCCTGGGCACACTGCCTACCACTGCACTTTTGCTTTTTCCAGTTTTTTTTTAAGTCTTTTTTTTTTTAGAGCAGTTTTAGGTTCACAGCAAAATTGAGAGGAAGGTACAGAGACTTCTTTCCCTTCCTCATCACAGGCACAACCTCCCCCATGGCCAGCATCCCCCACCAGAGTTACATCAGCACATCATTATCATCTAAACTTCATCAGCATCTGTTACATCAGCACATCATTATCATCTAAACTTCACAGTCCGAATTGGGTTCATTCTTGGTGTTGTCCATTCCATGGGTTTGGACAAATATACAACATGTATCCACCATTGTAACATCATACAGAAGAGTTTCGCTGTCCTCAAAATCTTCTCTGGTCCACCTGTTCGACCGTCCTGCTAATCCCTGGCCTCCACGGATGTTTTCATTGTCTCCATAGTTTTGCCTTTTCCAGAATAGTGCTCAGTTGGAATCATGCAGTATGGACCCTTATTGGATTGGCTTCTTTTACTTAGTCATGCGCATTTAAGTTTCCCCATGTCTTTCCATGGCTTGAAATGCCATGCCATTTCATGCCACCATACTTTTAGAGTAAGTACCAAGTTTTCTCTCTTCCTGTCCCCACCCTGACAAAGAGTACATCTTACAATCATTTCCTTACCACCAACTTCCCCTGCGTGGGTGAGAAAATCAGATTACACACCAAAGTCTAAACACCATGCTTCTCCACTGGCTTCCTGGTACCCAATGTCCTCCTGCGCTTTGAGATTTCCTGTTTGAAAACCAAATGTGTTTGCTATCTCATGGTCTGTATTTTAAAATTTGTTTTTAGCCAGATATTATTATCAATAAAGGCCATGCCTAGAGCAGGGAGTGCAGGTGTGCTCCATGTATTTGTCTTCATTTGGGATTTCCCTTCCCGTCATTTAACAATGATGGTTAAAGTTAGGAGGCTATTCATATCGGACATTTGTACAGAAGTACAGAAATGTCTCTCGAAACCCTGTGTATCAGAATAGTTAGCAGCAGCATGTGGAAAAGTATCCAAGAAGCTATTTCATTTCCATGGCAGCCAGGACCCAGACGCGAAAGCTTTATAGATTAAAATCAATGCCTGAATTGCATTCAGAAAGCCTGAATTGCCTGTCAGACTCAGGACCAGCGACTCAATGTGATAAATGAGGTGGAGGGCCGCATCCAGGCAAGGGATTGCGTGCCGCATTAGCCAGCACTTTGGATCCTTTTTCAAAGCAAATACCAAATGGAATGAATTACTGGGAAACAGCAAATGAATGTCAAGAATTTGAGATGCGGGGGTTATAATTTACTAATTACTGGGAGAAGATGAACACAAAGTCAATGTGTGAAAGACTCTGGTAGGGGGAAGGCTAGATCAGGGGGACAAAGAAAGTGACCTGCACAGAAGGCTGCTCCTGCTTTCCGTTTTGATAACAAGAGATGGATTTTAGAGGCATAGCTACCTGGTTCAACTCCCAGCTTGGTCATTACCAGACTGTGTCATAAATTGTAATTAGCATAAAAAGATAAGTATATGAACCCCAAGCCTAGTGACTGGCACATAGGAGGCAGTCAGTAAATGTTAAATCTGCCTTTTCCCAGATCTCATTCTGTTCCTTTCTCATTTCATAAGCAATCTCAGTACTAAAACATAATGGACTTTGCACAATGATTCAGTGTTGGAGAATGAACCTCCCTTCCTCCCACGGCAGGTCACCGATATTCGAAGACAGTGAAGGAAGGATGAAGCATTGAGAAACTCACAGAAATACTGTCACAAGACTGGGTTCACTATAAAACCACATCAATAATATAATTTTTTGATGCCTGTACAGATGAGTCCAATGGCAAAATAATAGACCATGGTTTTATTCTCCAGTGCTCTTGCCTCTCTTTTGTGACACTAATGCATCCTCTGAGCCCAATGGGAGCTAGGCAGAGTAGTCTATCAATCAGGTGCTCCCAACAGGCCGCAGCTATCAAGCAGCCAAGATAGGGATTTCCTAGGGTCTCCTCTCTGCCACCAGGGATAGGAAGGATGTCATCTGAAGAGGAACCACAGAGTAATTGAGCAAGTTGTGGAATAGCAGCCAAGACACTCAGATGCTTATGCTGGGTATTTGCCAACCAGTTGTGCAAAATGAAGGGGTCAGATCAGAGTATCACTTCTTTCCCTATTTTACTAGTTCTTTAAGAGAATGTGTAACGGGAATACACGTTCCCCTCCTTTCTCGGTACTAATGTCCTCAATTTTTAGATGTGGACATGGTACTCAGAATGCAGACCACATTGGCCAGTCTTTCTTGCACCTGTGCCATATGATGAGGTTCTGGAAAATGATATGAAAGCATAGGTAGTGTGTGCAACTCCTTGGAATATCACTGGAGAGTGCATTTGTCCTTCTGCTGTCCTTCCTTGTTAGTGCTGGTGTTATGCGTTTGTGATGGCTGAAACTGGAGCAGCCCTCTTGGACATGGATGTGGAAGCTACAAGCTGTGAAGGGTAGAACAATGCAACAGAAGGAGACAGGGTTCCTGAGGCTGTCTGGGGTCATAGCTCACCCTAGACTATCTAGATTTATTTTATGTGTAAAAGAAAATGTCAGCGATTCTGAATTTTATGTTACTCAAAATTAAATCTCAATCTTAATTAACTAATAGAGATTTTAATAGATGTTCTACTAAAATGGGTTCCTTGGCCAAATAACTCCTGGAAATGTTGTGTATTACAGACTCCTTTTAAAGATTTACAATGTGCCCTAGCCCATTACAGGCTCTGCAGACTCTTACAACTCAGAGTGTAATCCCTGGACCAGCACCATCGATATCACCCAGGAGCTTGTTAGAAATGCGTAATCTGGTCAGGCTTAGTGGCTCGTGCCAGTAATCCCAACACTTTGAAAGGCTGAGGTAGGAAGATCCTGGAACCCAGGAGTTTATGACCAGCCTGAGCAACATAGCAAGACCCCATCTCTATTTTTAAAAATGCAGAATCTCAGGTAACCCCAAACCTACTAGGTCAGAATCTACATTTTAAACAAGACTACCAGTTATTCGTACATTCATTTGAGAAGCACTGCATCATTACAATATGGAAATGGCATCCTATGGTCTTTGAGTCTGGAACAGAAGTAGCAGTATACTGCCAGTGGGTATCACTGCAGCTCCTGGAGCACAAGAATGAGCCTGGATGGTTTTCACAGCCATAGAATGGCTGTGTACTCTTCAAATCTAAGGCTGCTGCTATCAACTCCATGAATCCTCCAAAAATTTTCAGCCCTAACTTTTGAGTCATTTTCAGGACCAAGACAGCTTTGCTATCACTGACTGAGCTAGGAATTTGTGGCAGACATCCGTTTCCTCTGCTCCCAGTGACTTCTGCTTCTGTAGGGGTTTGAATCTCCCCCTGCTGCTGCACACCTTTGGTGCTACACCTGCTTTTCTTGACAAGTTACAGCTAAATCTACAGGAGAGGTGAGAAGGGGCCTTCAGGAGATCCAGTGCTACCTGCCAGGTGCCACAGGAGCAGCTGGGTGGGCAAAACCTCTGTCAGTCATTTTCATTCTTACACAAACTCGCATATGGGCATGTGGTGATCTAGCTAAGCAGAACATCAGTTGAACTAGGTTATTTTTTATGTGTGAAACAGTAACCAATTAGATCATTTCCATTTACTTTTTGCTTTCTGCTTTATCTGGTGATAGTATGTCAGAGGCATTACTCAGTAGTAAGAATCTTGTTCTCTGGAGCCAGACTTCCTGGGTGGGCGTGGCTCCAGGCTCACCATGTGCCAGCTGCAAGACTTTAGTCAAATCACTTAACCTTCATCCCTCCAAGCCTCAGTTCCCTCATCTGTAGAGTGGGGATCAGGGTGGTATCTATCTCCCAGGTTGGTTGTTAGAATTACATATGAAATATATGTGAAGCACTTAGATTTCTTTAGATTTCTTCCTGGCTAATAGGAAACACTATATAACTATAATAAAATTTAAATATATATATATATATATGTATAGTACTTACATATTAAATGTATATATGTACATATATACATACAAGTAATAAGTTATATACCATTATATTATAATTTGGGGGGTTAAAATCTAAATCATGTGAATTAAAATCTAAAAATGAGGAATGAAAAGAAGTACAGGTATGAATTGACAAAGTTTTTATGACTGTCTCTCCCATGGGTTATTAGCTAAACAAATGACTGTCAATTTCATTAAAGCAAAGCAGACAATTTGAGCAAACACACACTTAATGAATGTCCACTGATTGCCAAGTTTCGAGGTCCATGCTGGGTACTGTGGAAATGCAATGATGTAACAGATGACAACCCAGTGCTGTGATTAAGTGGAGAACAAAGACAGATGCACAAATATCATATGAAAAGACAGACATAGAAAGTTCTATACAATGTTTTGTGAAACAAGCAAAGCGCACCTGCAATTCCAGCACTTTGCAGGTGGAGTACTTGAGGCCAGGAGTTCAAGACAGGCCTGATAAACATGATGAAACCTGTCTCTACTAGCCAGGTGTGGTGGTGGGCTCCTGTAGTCCCAGCTACTCGGGAGGCTGAGGCAGAATAGCCAGGTATAGTGGTAGGTACCTGTAGTCTCAGCTACTCAGGAGGCTGAGGCAGGAGAATCGCTTGAACCAGGGAGGCGGAGGTTGCAGCCAACATCACTCACTACATTCCAGCTTGGTAACAGAAGAAAAAGAAAAAAAGAAGCAAAGCACATAATGATAATGATAGGTACCTGCAGTATAAATCATTCACATTTTACAAATCAGTAAGTAGGTGGAGCTTCAAAGATACTAAGAAAATTGCTAAGCTCTTGGACCTGGTAAATGAAAGAGGTAGGATTCAAACTCAGGTCTGCCTGATGTCAGAGTCCTTGTTTTCTCTGACACATGAGATTGACTACAAAACAGACACTTCATGGAGAAGGTAACATTTCAATTTGACCTCAAAAGATGAGTTAAATTTCATTTTTTTAAAAAATTATACTTTAAGTTCTGGGATACATGTGCAAATCATGCAGGCTTGTTACATAGGTATACACGTGCCATGGTGGCTTGCTGCACCCATCAACCCATCATCTACATTAGGTATTTCTCCTAATGCTATCCCTCCTCTAACCTCCCACCCCCTGATAGGCCCCAAGCTGTGATGTTCCCTTTCCTGTGTCCATGTGTTTTCATTGTTCAACTCCCACTTGTGAGTGAGAACATGTGGTATTTGGTTTACTGTTCTTGTGTTAGTTTGCTGAGAATGACGGTTTCCAGCTTCATTCATGTCCCTGCAAAGGACATAAACTCATCCTTTTTATGGCTGCATAATATTCCATGGTGTATATGTGCCACATTTTCTTTATCCAGTCTAACATTGATGGGCATTTGGGTTGGTTCCAAGTCCTAGCTATTTTTAACAGTGCTGCAATAAACATATGTGTGCATGTGTCTTCATAGTAGAATGATTTAAAATCCTTTAGGTATATACCCAGTAATGAATTGCTGGGTCAAATGGTATTTCTGGAACTAGATCTTTAAGAAATCACCACACTGTCTTCCACAACTATTTTACACTCTCACCAACAGTGTAAAAGCATTCCTATTTCTCCACATCCTCTCCAGCATCTGTTGTTTCCTGACTTTTTAATGATTGATATTCTAACTGGCGTGAGGCGGTATCTCACTGTGGTTTTGATTTGCATTTCTCTAGTGACCAGTGATGATGAGCTTGTTTTCATGTTTGTTGGCTGCATAAATGTCTTCTTTCAAGAAGTGCCTGCTTTTGTAGTCAAAGTGTCCTTTGCCCACTTTTTGATGGGGTTGTTTGTTTTTTTCTTGTAAATTTGTTTAAGTTTTTTGTAGATTCTGGATATTAGCCCTTTGTCAGACGGATAGTTTGCAAAATTTTTCTCCCATTCTGTAGGTTGCCTGTTCACTCTGATGATAGTTTCTTTTGCCATGCAGAAGCTCTTTAGTTTAATTAGATCCCATTTGTCAATTTTGGCTTTTGTTGCCATTGATTTTGGTGTTTTAATCTTGAAGTCTTTCCTCGTGCCTATGTCCTGAATGGTATTGTCTAGGTTTTCTTCTAGGGTTTTTATGGTGTTAGGTCTTATGTTTAAGTCTTTAATCCATCTTGGGTTAATTTCGGTATAAGGAGTAAGAAAGGGATCCAGTTTCAGTTTTCTGCATATGTCTAGCCAGTTTTCCCAATAGTGTTTATTAAATAGAGAATCCTTTCCCCATTGCTTCTTTTTGTAAGGTTTGTCAAAGATCAGATGGTTGTACAAGAATGGTGTTATTTCCAAGGCCTCTATTCTTTTCCGTTGATCTATATATCTGTTTTGGTACCAGTACCATACTTCTTTTCTGTTGATCTATATATCTGTTTTGGTACCAGTACCATACTGGTTTTGGTTATTGTAGCTTTATAGTATAGTTTGAAGTCAGGTAGCATGATGCCTTTTGCTTAGGATTGTCCTAGCTATACGAGCTTGGTTTTGGTTCTAAATGAAATTTAAACTAGTGTTTTTCTAATTCTGTGAAGAAAGTCAATGGTAGCTTGATGGAGATGGCACTGAATCTAAAAACTACTTTGGGCCACAGTATGGCCATTTTCAGGATGTTGATTCTTCCTATCCATGAGCATGGAATGTTTTTCTATTTGTTTGTGTACGCTTTTATTTCCTTGAGCAGTGGTTTGTAGTT